GTAGCTCCTGGCCTTTCTACTAGGAGCAAATAGCTACTAGGAACAAGATTCCTCCCAAGCCATGACGGAGACCGAAGTGGCCATCGCTGCGGGCGCGGCGAGCGCGGCGGCCACCAACGCTGCAAACAGCAGCAACCCCTCAGAGGAGCAGGACCAGTTGCACGGGTGGCATTTGTTTCTGGGCAACACGAGAACGAGAGCAGAGAACGCAGAAACAACAGAAACAGAAAGGTCTAACGGCCGGAAAAAGAAGCGAAACCAAGGCATCGCTACTAGGAGCAAGGACGCTACTAGGGGCTCCCGGCCTTACTACTAGGAGCAAGAAGCTAGTAGAAATTCTACTTGTCCTCAACTCCGAAATGTGCAGCGCCCTTCTGCTACGAAAATCAGTTGAAGGCCGTTAAGGGAATTTGGCTTGTTATTGACAACGGCCTCCAACCTAGAAGCGATGGCCTCTAACCTACTAGCTTTGTTCTTGACGACCTGTTTGTTGTGTTGCTTTCTTGTAAACAATTCTAATAGCAATGGCCTTCACCCAAAGAACAGCGCCCGCCAGTGAGGTCCAAGAAGGAGGCAGAGTACATCTCAGAGATTTGGGACATGTACAAATCGCTCAACATCACACCTCACCCGCCGGAAATAGCACCCTTCAAGGTGGAGCAGTCTCATGGATTCCTGGGCAACTACTACAGAGCAGCATTTCCTGTGACCCATTCCGACATCCACATTCCAGATCCTCATTCCATTGGTTTCATTGGAAAGGATGCCAACAGTTGCTTAGCCGATCCGATCCGATCTTGTTCCGTTTGTAGCGTCCTTGCTAGTCTGGTGAATCCTTCCTTTCAAGCGGTTGTACCCCTGATCCACTATGAATCTTTCATTTTTAGGTTGGAGGCCATCGCTACTAAGGTGGAGGCCATTACTAGTAGCAAGAAGCTACTGGGGTGGAGGCCATCGCTATTGGGAGACTATGAATCATTCATGTCTACTCCGCTCTTGAGAGCTGTCCTTCCCGCGTCCGCAAAAACACCTTGAGCCCTCCAAGTGTACTTGGGCTCAGGGATGCTACTAGTAACAAAGGGCATCGCTACTAGGAGCAAGGACGCTACCAGTAGCTCCTGGCCATACTACAAGTAACAACAAAGGTACAGCTTCGAGTATTCACTCAAAGTAAACAACCCTTGTCACCGAGACAAGACAAAGCCCAGTCATTTGCGGAAAGAGTGACACGCAACGGCCACCAAGGGAACCCCTATTTTCTGGGATTTTTTCAGGCTTTTTCTAGGGATTTTATTTTTTTCGCGTTTTTTTCCCCTACTGCTTTTGCTTTTTGTTTTCGCTTTTGCTTCTGCTTTTGCTTTTTGCCTCTGCTTTTGCTTTTTGCTTTTGGCCTTTGCTTCTGCATTTGCTTTTTGCCTCTGCTTTTGCTTTTGCTTTTTGCTTTTGGCCTTTGCTTCTGCATTTGCTTTTTGCTTTGCTTTTTGCTTTTCCTTCTGCTTTTGCTTTTGCCTTTTGCTTCTGCCTTTGCTTTTGCTTCTGCTTTTGCTTCTGCTGACTATCTTTTTCGCATTGACACTGCCACAAAGTTGGATGATAAGACCTTCACCTTGAGCTTTGACACCCAATTACACCAATCAAGAAACGAAGCAGCCCAGCGCTGTCGTGATTTGCATTGCGGGGGGGGCGCTGCGCCCTCCCCCCCCCCCCCCCCTCCCGCTTTTTTAAAATAGTTGCCACTACCGTTGACCACCCCTACTATTTCCAATACCTCTAGCACTCGGACCACCCCGCTACGAGTCTTACCACAGTTACCACAACTACTATTTTCTTTGCGTTGACGGCCACAAAGGTGGATTTCTACTTTGCTTAGCCCAAAGAAACCCGAAACCACTGAAACCCAAAGACAACCGCAGAATTGTCCCTAGTATAGTTCCTCTCTCCTCCTACTTCTCCTTCGTTAAGTGGGATGCCTTTTCCGGAAGAACGCCTAAAGAAACCCTAAAGAGAAGAAACCGAGCCCAAAGAAACCCGAAACCAGTGAAGCTAAATACAACCGCAAAGAAGTCCCTAGTAAGTGGAATACCTTTTCTGTTCCCTCCCTTTGTCACTGTCACGCTGGCTTTGGTGCTTCGTCCCCTGCCCTTTCTGCTGCTCCTAGTGCTTGTAAAGCCCTCCCAGCAGAAGCAAAAGCAAAAACAGTAGGGAAAAAACGTGAAACATCACGGAAACATCTGAAAACATCACGGAACATATCAATCCTTTAAGCGGCTGATGTGCTTGCATCTTTGAACCAGACCTTGCCCCCAAGACTTGTCATTCCTCAAGGCGGAGCAAAAAGACATTTCTATGCAACACCGACTCAAAGAACTCCCCACCGCTCCTTCCTATCTAGTTCTTTGATAGGAAGGGGAGGTTTGTCAGTCAGAGATCCTGGGCCAGCTTTTGGCGAGGTTTGTCAGTGACCCTGCGAAATTTCAAGCTGACAGAGATCCATGAGGAACATCCTAGTGACCGACATGCGACTTGGCAAAAGTCACGCCTGAGTTTTGTCGATGCTTTTTCAAACCAGAAACTTGAAAATTCTTTTCTTCTATTTCCCTTCAAACTTATTTCAGACCACTTCAGACCTGTGCTCTTGTTTCACTTGCAGAACTTTTAGTTTAGGAATAGTAATGCAGTCCTAGCGGACTTGATTCAAGGTGTAGCATTGTTTACTTGAAGGCTATTCTTTGGTGTTTGAAGGATAATCACAACATTTAAAAAAGACATTGCGCTTGTTTACACCAATACGCTGATTGAGCGTGCCGAACGCCACCCTATGGCTGAAAGTAAAAGAACGCGCAATGATTGGGTCAAAGGTCTGGCACACGCTCTTAGGTTGGAGGCCATCGCTAGAAGGTTGCAGGTCATTGCTACTGTTTCGGTTGGAGGCCATCGTTGGAGGCCATCGCTATTAGGTTGGAGGCCATCGCTACAAGGGTGCAGGCCATTGCTAATAGGTTGGAGGCCATCGCTAGTAGGTTGGAGGCCATCGTTAATAGGTTGGAGGCCATCGCTATTAGGTTGGAGACCATCGCTATTGGGTTGGAGACCATCGCTAGTTGGTCGGAGGCCGGAGGCCATCGCTAGTAGGTTGGAGGCCATCGCTAGAAGGTTGGAGGCCATCGCTAGTAGGTTGGAGGCCATCCCTATTGGTATTTGGTTGGGGGCCATGGCATTTAGGTTGGAGGCCATCGCTATTGAGTTGGAGGCCATCGCTCTTAGGTTGGAGGCCATCGCTAGTAGGTTGAAGCCCATCGCTAGTAGGTTTGAGGCCATTCCTCTTAGGTAGTAGGTTGGAGGCCAGCTATTAGGTTGAAGGCCATTGCTATTAGGTTCGAGGCCTTTGCTTTTTGAAGATCAACAGACTTGGTCGGTCTATAGGTCATGGTGTCAGAAAGTGATCTTGAAGCAGCTTAGAGACATCTCCTGGGCAGGCTGCAGCCTGCTTGGTGGTCAATGAGTTTCACCATTTTGTGAGGAAATTGGCCAAAGAGATGAATCCTACAAACGAGGCGCGCAAGAAAACCTGACTGTGAATTCCTTGTGTACACTAGGGTGGAGGCCATCGCATACTAGGTTGGAGGCGATCGCTTCCCTTATCCGGACAAGTGTCGTTCAACAAGAGGGTCGTTTGTTCGCTCATCAATGAATTGCTATGATGCAAAATGTCAACTTCTATTTTTGAGGAACTAGCAACACCTGTGTACTCCAGGTGATTTATGATATCAACCAGAGAATCCAGCTTATCGAGTGCTTCATCACGCGCTGCAACATTGCCATGCACAAGTACAGACCTTTCTTGGCACTGATGGTTAGGTTGAAGGATGAACTGCAGCAAATTATGAACCTTGGTTTCTGTTATTGCCAACGTAGCAGATAGATCTCCGATATTGGCCAGATTGTTGGGCTAAAGAAGAGCCGATTGCCACGGTTTGAATGAGGAATCTTTGGCCTGCATTCCGAACCCAGCAAAAGCTGCAAGAGCAAATCAGGAATGTGAAGCTCCATGTGGATGCAGTCGCTTGCAGTGGGTCAAAGTAGCAACCAATTTTGAAGATAATATGTTCCAAAAAATCAGGTCGCGCTAATAGTGTGCTTGTTACTGCGGGGGCAAAAGACAGGGTCTTGAACAGATAAGGCCTTTATGTACGTTTCCTAAATCCTCGGAACCTCGGAGCCACATGAATAGTGCGCTTCCTTGAAGAAGCGCGAGATATCCTGCGTCCTGGGTAGTAGCTACTTGTAGGTACAAGCTACCTCTCCCCACTAGCCAGTACTACTTCACCTCTACTAGCGGCCTACCCCCCGCAACAACAGTGGAACCATCTGAGATTCGGAATCGCGCCGCAAAACCAAGGGTGACCTCAGCCATGTAGATGGTGCAGCAGTCCTCAGTGAGCTGAGCCCCCAAAACCTGAGCATCCCAAAATCGATCAACTGGCAGATCGCCTCAGGCATAGAACTTTGGGAGCTACTAGTAGCGATGCCCTTTGTTACTAGTAGCTTCTTGTTCCTAGTAGTAAGGCCAGGAGCGGCCCTAGTAGCGATGCCCTTCGTTCCTAGTAGCGATCCTGGATGCGTGTAGCGCAACACTGCTCCATCGAGAGCCCAACGGGGGCGGCAGAACTTTGACCATGGTGGATCCTACCTCAAACCTTCCTCCGCTGACGTAAGACCAGCTGGGAGGCCTTTGGGCAGCGCACTTTGTCCCTCCGCTTAAAAAAATAATAGAACTTCTTAAATTGCAGTTTTCAAGTCAAGCCTTCCATTCTTTTTGAATAAAAATAAGACATAACTGTTTAAAAGCTGTCTTTTTTAAACTAACTATAATCCTTTCTCTCTACCTTCACTTCCGAGGCGTTGTTGCGCTTGTTGGGCTATTGTTTCTACGTGTTGAAGTGCGAACCGGGCGACTTCGCCTTCGATCCACAAGATTGGCACCCGGAGATCCGAGACACCGAGAGCGTCCACGACAAGATCATGCATTGGACGCTCAGTAACAGGTGCCACGCTAGTAGTAACAAGTGCCTTACTACTAGTAACAAGAAGCTATTAACTATTGGAATTAAAATTTAACTAACTAGTAGCAAACATTGTTACTACTGGTAAGGCACTTGTTACTAGAAGCGATGCCCTTGAGCCCCTAGTAGCGATGCCAGGAGGCCCGTTCGTAGCTTCTTGTTCCTAGTAAAAGAAAGAGAAGAAGGTGAGCGGTGAAAGAGAAATTAGAAAAGAGTGTTTTTGACTCAGAAGTTTTGTTAAATAAGTAACAAGATATGTAAAACAAGTTAAAGAGAACAGAAAAAAGACATGTTATACTTTTTGAAAGGTCCAGCCTTTTACGTTCTGAAAACCGCCAGAGCGCTTTTGCACTCGGTCTTTCAGTGATTTTGCAGAAACGTTACGTTCATTCTCTTAGAACTCCCAGGTTTGAAAACAACCACAGCTTTCTTGTTCCTACTAGTAAGGCACTTGTTACTAGAAGCGATGCACTTGTTCCTAGT